AGCCATTAAGGCACAACGGAACGAGTGAGTTCCGTAAGAACGATCGGTGAGTGTCACTTTACCATTGTATATTTCCGATCGAAACTGACAGGACAATAAGCATGTAGCTCAGTGGTTAGAGGTGTTGGAATCCTGACCAACAGATCGCGGGATCGAGCCTTAAGTGTTCTACACTTCGGGGTTGGGTATGACTGGCTAACGAGAGCTAATATGCCCCAAATGACCATTCCAGTCTCCTTTGCTTTTTCGGACCAAAATTTTGCATATATAAATGGATATATGTACATCTACGAAGCTTGTTTGCTTCGGGACGACAATGGATCGATTTGCGCCCAGTCCTGCCAAAGTGAGCACCCCCACTCCTAACGCCATGACTGACAGCCGATAGGCAAAGCCAACAGCCGGTAACCCAATTCCAACTCCCGCCCAAAGCGGACTGTAGAAAGGCGAGCACTGGGACAAAGACAGTGGCCAACCCCGGCTCCACTCACTATCCCTCGCCCTTAAAACTGAACTTAATTCTGCGGACGAAAAATGCAGGAAATTTGCTCTAGATGCAAACAACACCGTTCTGCCTTTTTACCGAAAAACTGTTTTTTCAAGAACGTTAAAATGCCTACCTAAATTTAAAAAGTAGCCACAATTTACGGCCACGCTGCCAGGGTCCATCCAACAATTATATTAAGAATGGTAAAGGAACCACGTGCAATATCCACGAGCATAGGCCTAAAGAGGGTTTTTCAAGTACCCTTGCCCGATGCCACTATCTGCCAGATTACAGCACTAAACAACTTTTAGATCCTGCGCATATATAAATGACCTAGATTACGAAATTAATTTAGAAAATCACTGTCCAGAACGCAAAATAATAGCGGACCAATCAAACTTGCCAAAGTAAATCCACTCCTCACATCTTTACGGTTCTAACTAAAGCCGGGAGTCATAACGCGCAGTCTGCTAGAGTCCGCGCAAGCGAGAAAGAATGCCATGGTCGTTTTCCTATTCCGAATAATATGCAAAGAAGCAATACCTCCTTCCAGCTCAAAAAAACATAAACGAAGAATAAGAGCTGATAGGTCTCAGAAGACCGAGCTATAAGAAATCCGTGCTGAGCTGCACTGGGAAATTGTGGTCTGGTCTCTGGGATTCTCGAGGCTTCTGAGAGGGGGTGTTAATTGAACGGAAGGGGCAAATGGTGAAGAACAACCGCGCTTGTGACGAAGCAGGACATGTGATTTCTTCCACAACCAGGAAAGGATTTTCCCGCGAAGGCAGGATTAAAAATCTTCGGGAAGAGAGACGGGTGGATTCCATTTCTGACGGCTTTCAGAGTGCTGGCCGGGACGCCATGTGATTCTGGGCAAACAGACTGCCGAATACATTCTATGACAGCAGTTACGTTCAAAAAAATAATTTCGTTTCAAAGTTGCGCATTCAGATTCGGTAGGATAGGATTTTAAACAACATTTTTTGCTGCAGAGGACATTAAAAATATAAGCGGTCATTTTAGCATCTACCATGGGATTTCTCGGTGCGTCTTGCAGGATGTGATATCTGCGTCCTTCTACGAGCGTTCATTGTGCAGAAGTGTTTCGTGGCCGTTTACAACGAACTTGTTCACATCAAAAGCAGCACTGAAATGTCATTTTGTATGTGCAGTGGACGGGAGTGAATTTGCGTCCCCGACGAAGGGATAATTGTGGAACGATCTCTTCGGTAACATGAACTGTAGTCTTAATCATGCTCCAAATCTTCATATACACTAATAAATGGCAGACATGCATGCATGCTGCATATAGATCCAGTTCCCCCATCAAGACTATCCTGACGGTCATTTTGGATGAAGGTGTTGCCCATTTTCCAGTATATACCTATATATCAACATGAATGAAGATACGAGGTTCCAGATAAATTACCCCGATGGAACTGAGAAAGTTTCCGAAACATCAGCACCAATACAGTGTTGTACACGAAATCGCACCTTTTTCTTCTTCGTCTTCTTTTGGGGATAATAAACGGGATACATGCATTCCGAAAGACAGAGAAAACGCGCGGCCCAGGTAATTGAATAGAAGAAGACGGGAAGGCGATCGCTGGGACCAGTTGTTTGTTTATCCGACGTTTCGAACTCTCACGCGAGCTTATTGTCAAGGGATGAAAAAATGTACAATTCGTTGTATATTTAACTCACCACTGCCGGGGGTGACCTCTAGCTGCGCTTCTGATTTGTTCACGCAGTGCTTGATAGGCTATTGGCAGATCGATATGTCGATTAATCGAGTCCTCGGTTGACTAACATGCTTCCTGCAGCAGGCGAGCAACTCGGTCGTCCGAGTGGCCCAATATTCTCACGCTCTCGAAGTCAAAGGCGTGCCCTGGCAAGGAGGCGTGGGCGGCTACCATGGAGAGTTTATCCTTTCGTCTCACAGCCAACTCGTGTTTTTGCAATCTCGTGCGTACCTGGTTGCCAGTTTCACCAACATAATTGGCTTGACCACAACTGCAATCTGTCCGGTAAATGATCATCGATTTCTGATAGATGGGAATCGGGTCCTAAGGGTGCATGAGTTGCCGGCGTATTGTTGCCTCAGGTCTGTGAGCGACACCAATCTCACATTCGCTCATCAGTCTAGCGGATTCTTCTGACACACCGGCTATTTACGGCACTGCACGCCAGCATTTCGGTTTTGGGTGCCCCTTCGGTTTTCTTCCCCGGATTTCTCGCCTGCACTTTTCGACAGCATTCCCAGGGTAGCCGTTCGCTGTGAAGAGTTTCCGCAGGAACTGGACCTCAGCCTTCTTGTCGGCTGGCTCGGTGCAATGGGTTTCTACGCGCCGGTAGAGTGTTCCCACGCAGCTGAGCGAAAGGGGTGGTTGCTAAGACAACTGAGAATACGGGAGGTATTCGTTGCCTTGCGGTAAACCGTTGTTTTTAGTTCACCATCACCCTTTCTCCGAACTAGTACGTCAAGAAACGACAACTGGCAATCTTTTTCTTCCTCCATCGTGAACTGGATGTCTGGGAAGATCGAGTTGAGGTGTCGCCTGAATTCCCCAATCTTATCCCGATTAATGATGACAAATGTGTCATCGACATACCGTACCCACAGTCGTGGTCGATAGTAGTTAAAAGTCAGTGCCTCCAGTCGCTGTAACACTGCCTCAGCAATCAAGCTGGATAACGGTGACCCCATGGGTGTACCTTTAACTTGTTCGTACACAGCTCCGTTTAAGGTGAAGAAAGTCTTCAAGTAGTGCTTCAGGAGATCAATAAGGTGTTTTGTCTTGAGTTTTTTGTCCGTTTCGTCATAATTTTCTTCTAACAGGGTTTGCAGGGTTTCAACTGCGAGATGCCGTGGGATGGATGTGAGAATTGATATCACGTCGAAAGAAACCATCACTTCGTCCTCTGTGAGTCGAATACCTTGCAGCTTTTCGATTAATCTTTCGGCTGAGTGAACGCTTGTTTCAGAAACCTGAGTTAGAAATTTCAGACGCTGACACAGCCACTTGGCCAGACCAAACGCTGGGGTGCCTCTTAGATAAACAGTCAGCCATAGGGGAGTTCCTGGTTTATGGACCTTGGGCAGACCATAGAATCTCGCGATCGCTGAATCCTTTGGTTTCATCCTCAGCCAGTCAAGCTGTGTTATTGCTTTTGACTTCTGAAGACTCGCTAGGTCCTTGTTTATTTCGCTTATCAGCGTCTTCGTCGTGTCGCCTTCATGAGGCAGTTCTGTCACCCAAAAGTTCATCAACTTTGTTGATGTGGTCCTCTTTGTTCAGTACAACCTTCAATCGCCCTTTATCGGCTGGGAGTATGACAATGCTTTTGTCAGCCTTTAACGTCCGGAGTGCTTCGTCTTCTGCTTTTGAAAGTGTCTTGCGCTGCTTGTGGAACATGAGTCCGGAGGATATTCGCATCCGTAGTATTGAAGCAGGCATCACGACTCAGCACTTTTATCTGCTCTGCTGTCAGTTGTTTGGAAGATAGTTTGTGCACAACCTTATCATGGCAGAGATTTGGATTCTTTTCACTTAATGTGGTCAACTTCTGCTTCAGATTGGCTTCCCGCGCATCGCCGCTGCGAAATCTGTCATTCGCGAAGCGCCAATTACTGAAGAAAACAGGAATCTACAACGACAGCGAATATCTTCCAGACTCACATTAGTCCTCTCCGCACGGCTGGACCCATTCTGCGTCATTTATGCTACATCCTTCTGCAGCCAGCGGTGTATAAGCAGCAAAATATGCTCGTTAGCGTAAGGTTTTACAACCCTCAAACAATCGCATCAGTTATTCTGGCTGGTCGTACAACTACAGCAAGGGCCATTGCCCATGCCACGTCGAACTCTCCTGCAATCTGCAACACAGGATCAAGGGGGCCATGCGTGAGAGTCTGAAGACCGGTAGTTGGCGTGCACCCTAGCTAATTGATTATCCGGTGCAGAATCCTATTAATGGTGCACCCCTGAAACTAACACGCACACGCATATATATAAGTGGTTGCAAACACGACCAAATTAGAAGTAGTCGCACGCCTCCACCTACCAAAATGCGCATGATCATTCTTACCCTTCTGGCGGTTGCCGTGGTTGCCATGGCTCAGGAGTAAGTCCTGCCTTCTGAACACCATCTAACCACTCACTCTTTCTCCTTTAGGGAGGTAAGTCGTCACTGCAGCTGCTGAATTGCATGTCCATGAACAGTCCTCATGCCTGAGGGTTCTCGTAACAATCAAGCTGTTTGATTGGTCAGGTCAGAGACACTTGTATGCTGGCACGTCAAGTGGTGGTTAGCGCAAACGCGGACTCGTATTATTAGTTTCCCTGTTCTTAGCAGTTCAAGAAATAGGTTTATAAACAGTTCTGCTGTGTTCATCGCCAGAAAACGGGACAGCAGTAGTTATTTGGTAGAAGTGGCTGTTTAGTAGGGAGTGAGGTGTCAGGTTGTTTCTAATCCCCAAATCTGAGCATATGCTGACGCAGAGATCTCGTTAATGCACCAGACCAACCCCATCCGCGCCCTGCGTGCCCGTCGAGTGGCCGCGATTGCCGCACTTGAGGACTACTTCGACAACAACCCTCTCGGACAGAAGATCGCTCAGCACATTGTGAAGACCAAGGAAATCATCCGTGAAAGTATTTCATTCTGATTATACTACTTAATCATCCAATTAATTTTAGTTCGTCAGCGACTGCGCAGACGTCTTGCAAACTACCTGAAGGGAATCGAGGCGGCGAACTGAATTTGGTCGATGTCTGCCCTCTTGCGTGTCACTGTGGTCTAAATAGCTCAACAAAATAAACATCTTCTAGTCCACTCTCTCTCTGTGTTTAATTTTTTTTATTTAGATTTTCGGTGTTTGCCAATAATTGGTATTCCGACTTCGTAGCGTGTACGCTACTGATACGTATTACTGGGCAATCTAGTTTGGCGGGATATTGATTTGCGTCGGTGATACTGTCTCTCTTGTCAACACGAATGCTGCCAAATCAGAAGTCAGGGAGGATAGGCTAGGTTGAACGGACTCTGCTGAGGCGAGAGAGTATTTAGGTGGTCAAGCAAGCAGTGGCAGTATGCGCTCTAACCAAACGAGTGACGGCTGAATTGCACGCGCTTGGGCTTTGTCCTGGTGCAGCCAATTAGCATTGATGGCAGCCTTGGATGGAATTTTTCTCCTTCTTCTGCTTCGACATGCGCGTAGAGGTACTCGAAAGCCGCTTTCCTCTTCTAGTCTCCCTCCTCTGCACCTTCATTTGGCTGCAGCCGATCTTGGGAAATGTCAACCTCCCGATCGACCGTATGCACCTACACCTCTACCCGCCTCACCGACAACACCATTTAAATGTATTTATGTTCGTGATTCCAACTTTGGGCCTAGTGCAGTTTGTGACACCTGAAAATTGATGAAGCTCAGTTCTTCTAAAAAAATCCTTTGTCTTAATGATTTTCCAGCGAAATTTCGATCTCCGTTACCAACGATGTCCACAGTGCGTTCCATAGCAGGTTGAGAGAGAAGGGGAGAGAGGAGAAGAGAGAGTAATATGTTTTATTTGGAAATTATTGTTCGAAACCTTCATCAGTAGCCGCCCCATACATTTAAATCAGAATAGGGATTTGCAAATGATGCAGTAGTAGATAGGTTTGCCTAAAAGTGAATGCCTCTTACGCCGACAGTTCAAGTCTCAGTTTCTGTATTTACCCTTCTTTACACGTAATGTATAGTGCTGGAAACGGTAATATAGAATGCTGAGGTTTGAATTTCGACAGAGAAATCAATATAAAACAGCAAGGTCAACGTATACTGTGCGTAGACTAATCAATAAAATGATATTTTCAAAATGCTACAGAGGAATGAATATAGGGAAGTAAACATGCTGAGGGATTTCGAAGTGGCTTCTAAAGCAGGAGAATAAGATTCCACGGTCTTCTGTTCCAAAGCACCTCCTTGATAGCGGTCATTTGTTCGACCCCAAAACGTCTTTTCGAGCGCGAACTACTCGGTTATTGCGCTTCATGGAGGCAGCCTATATACGGCGGGAGAAACCCGACCTATGTAAACAATTAGACCACTTGGTCAACCTCAGTTTGCCCTGGTAGACCTGAGTCCTTTTGATTTTCGAAATCCCTCGGCGTGTTTACTTCCCTATTTTAATTCCTCTGGTGCATTTTGAAGTTATCATTTTATTGATTAGTCTACGCACAGTATACGTTGACCTTGCTGTTTTATATTGATTTTCTCTGTCGAAATTCAAATCTCTGTACCATTCTCACTTGTTATTTGTGTTATGCAACGACAGGCTGCAGTTGAGAAGCCGTCGCGAAATTTTCTGGTGCCATTAAATTTTGCTGTCCTTGCTTGCTTTAAAATTCAATCAGCCAATTGTTTGACTATTGTGAAATGTCGTTGCACTATGATATCGAATTTTGTCCATCAGTTAGGCTGACGAAAAATAGCCATTCCTCCAACTCTGCTGCTCGAGGAATATTTGCAATCGTTTCAAAATCAATAGAAGGACGGGTTTCCAAAAGATAGCCAACTTCAGTGTAAGTGTACTCTTGTGATAACCGAAGGAGGCCAATAAATGACAACTTTTCGCTGGAGTTTCGGAAATTCCCATAGCAGAAATCAGAAGACGAGGTGGCGAGCATACGTAGCTTTTAAATAATTCTCGTCGGGCCAGCGCAATTATATGGGAAGGAGATAGAAGTAAAAAAAACGTCAGTGATGAGATAAATCGATTAAAGTTCGCCTTAAAACGGGCTGAGTGTGGGAATGTGGGGGACACCTACAGTAGATGTGCTAACTCATGAATTGTCAACCAAAATTTCGAAATGCGTTCTCGTTTCGAAAAGATACATTAAGTAGTGTTGTAAAACTAATCATGATGCAGAATAAATCTATAATGATCCAGTTACCTCAGGGTGTCGGCTTTCGAAAGAACTTATATTCGGCTGCATGCAAGATCTTTACTCTGCAAAAAAATGACTACTTAATCGGCATGCAATTTTCTCATTGATTTTCGATGCCCTTGAAAATTCAATTATATTTCATGGAAGACATGCACAAAAATATTCATTCTTTTACTTATTCAGTAGAAAATCACGTCTTCTTCCAATTTCATTCTCAAAAGAAGAGTATAATTCAGTTTTTAAAAAGTTTCTAATTGAGAGATTTTTCAATACCGTTAAGTGGCCGTTCATGAAACGTCATGTATCTGCATTTACTAATGTCGCTTGTAAAGTTAACAATATTACTCAAATCCACTGATTAATTTTATGAACCTTATATGGTCTCTTCTTAACACCTTAGAGAAATGCATGCGACATATTGGCCACAGAGTGTAACAGTTTGTGTCGTGACCAGTTGTCAACGAGTTTAATGCTGAATTTACGCAATGCTCTAATTCCTTTAAAATGGGGCAAGCGTGTCGTACAGATGACCTCATTACCTTAATTTAGACACACAAAAGAAACAAAAATATCAGGACACATGGAGTGAAATATGCCAATGGATACGCAATTACTAGACTGCCTGCGCGAATTGAGGTCATAAAACTTGTTACTCAGAATTACAAGACTACGGGAGCGACGACTTGCACTCGAATTACTTTATGGTGATACTAAGCCCGCGCCGCATACACCGCACTCTCCCCTCCCTTACCCTCCTAGGCCCGGTTTCAAGACCGAGTTAAAAAGGCCGGAGGCGGAATCGTGCGCAGGTGGTTGGCGCGGAGTGGGTCTGTGCCTAGGCGTGCCGACACACCCCCTTCTCCGGCTTTTATTTTCGACCTGCACCCTAATAATGAGTGCCGGACACTGACCTGTCTTATGCGTCGCCAATTACAACTTCCTCGTGGCCCACAGTACGGGGCCACCCCAGCCCCAATCGCAACACACTTCCGGCCACTCAGCACGTCCAAAAACGAGACGGCCCAGGCCAGTTTACTGACAATGCCGTATAGGAATAGCGTGGCTACTCCAAGCGGGACAGTGCGTCCCCAGCCCCGTAGCGCATTCACACCCCAGCCGAATTCCTAGTGGAGGTATGGATTAAGTATATGCGCGGGGTAGGAAAATGCTAATTTTCCCCTCCTCCTCCTCCTCCTCCT